TTGTTGTTGTTGTTGTTGTTGTTGTTGTTGTTGTTGTTGTTGTTGTTTATATAGTTCTATTAATTTTATATTGTTTCTCGTGTTTGTTGCTGCCAGTGTGACTTGCCCCATGTGTCCAGGTCTGGGTGAGGCAAACTAAGCGGATGACCTCATGGATGAGCCTTGGTTGCAAGTGGGGGAATGTGGGGGTCATGTGGGTCATGCCTTCCGGTAAAAGGTCTTATGAAAACCGCCTTTGTTGATCAACTAAATGGTCCTGTTCCTTGTGGTCCATGCCTTCCGGTCCCCTAAAGGTCTCGGTCCCTCTCTGGGCGGGTTTGGACCGATCCTGTGATCCGGGTGATCCAAACAGGGACGATCGGGTGATGGTTTTTTTTGGTTTTCATGAACCTGGGTGAATCCCCTAAACTGGGGGAAGATCTTAAGATCGGTGTTGAGCAAATGGTAGCCATACATGACCATCCACCTGGTCGTTTGACTGAAAAACATCTCTTTTGTTCTTTGCCCCCTTCTTGGAAAGGAACATCCGCTGGAAAGATCGAGCTCGCTTTCGCTCAGGATCCGCATCTTCTTCGCCTGCACGGTGGCCTTTTCCATCCCCATCACCCAACTCTTGAGCGTCGAAGCTCTTTGGAAGGCGCACGACGCGAAGCGACGCGACGAGAGAGTTATCAAGCCGAAGTCGGTTTGGAGGTTTCCAGGCTTCGGGTGATGTCTGGTCGCTTCTGGTGGTGAGTCCCCCTTGGCTTGGAGAACATGGTAGTCTTTTTCGTTGACAGAGGTTTTTTTGAGCAAATCCAAGCAAGTGTCGGCACTGATGAATGCAATTTATAGCCGGCGCAATAGAATCTGTAGAAACCGGGATGTTTTGGGCAACTAGATAGTTAAGCATTTATCCTGTCAACTAACTAACTTTAGAAGTCCCATGCCCACGTTTGTTTCAGGAAGTCCGTACTACGTAGACTCCTTCAATTTGTTGGTATAGGAGAAGACGGACCAAGTGTTGCTGAGGCATTGGTTGCACCAGTTCATCAGAGATGAAGGGATCCCAACTTTGTTGGTTCATGCACGGTTCATGTTGTGGATTGTTGTGGCATCATCGTTGGATATCTCTTTGTCGCTCTCCACAGAAGCTTCCCCAGAACACAAGCTCAGTGACAGGGTGTCGATGTGCAAAGATTGCCGCATTTGTACGGTCCGCCGTCGCGTGGACCCGCCGTGCGTGTGGACGCGTGGACCCGCCGTCCGGTCCGCGCCTCAGGGATCCATTATGGGCGTCGTGGCCTGTATCCTGACGACGCTCCTCGCGGTCGGCGGATGCGGTTCCGACCCAATCCGATCGGTCCCGTGGATCGATCGGTTCTATTCCCCAGACACGACACGTCTGGGACAGACTGCCAGGACGGACTGCCACGCCTTTCGAAGACCCCCAGTGAACCCTCCAAGTGATCGGCAGTCCTATGGCAGTCCCATGGAGTGTCTGGGTTCTGCAGATGGATCCCCAAAACAAGTGGACAGACATGCATACTTGCAGATCTGAAACTCGCAGAGGAGATCTACAAGTGTCCAACTGCTGGTGAGCCAGCAATCCATTCTTAGCTCAGCTGTCTCTACTGAGTAGAGGAGATGATCTACATTCTTGGTTTGGTGATATTTGGTCCATGGTGGGATTCCACATCGAAAAGGGCGAGCGGTGGACCCAGAATTAAGATGATTTGAAGCAACCAGGATGCCAATGACATGCAATTACTACCTGGAGTCGACTTGTTACCTTAGAAAATGGGCTACAAGTACAGTACTTGCTTAGGTTGTTCATGTCACATGTCCTATTTTCTAGAGTACCTTGGAGGGTCGAGACAGTATGTATTGGATGAAGAATCTAATCATTCCTTAGACATCCTTAGACAATATTGATCAAGTCAAAGACACCCATTGGACAGGTGATTCGATGGCACACCAAGATTATCCAGAAGTGGATGGCCTGATCCCTGAGAAGATGGTTTTCCCCTACAGACAGGGTGGTTTCTCTGGAAGATCAGTTTCAACCAACAGCGTGGATAAGCATGGGTCGAACAAAAAGAACATGCAACTACCGCATAGGCCTGGGCCTAGCCTTTCAATCATCTCAAGACAACACCTGGACATGTTCCATTTTTTGCGAAGCTTTGAAGAAGGGTTGCAGTGGCCCATGTTGAAGCCACCGCAAATCACCGCCGTTCTCCCATTCACCGCTACCATCCGAGCTCGACACCCCGGGCGCAGCCTCCCAGCGCAGCCTCGGCTGCCCGCCCAGGAAAGTTCTTTGCGCCCCCTTCATGGGGAAGGCACGCTGGGTCATCGGCTGGGCCATGGTTGGCCGGGCAGAGTTTGCCTACTTGATCGCGCAAATGGCCAATGCGGCCAACATGTTGGAGTCTTGGACCTGGACTGGACCGTCCAAGCGCTTGGGGGAAGATGGGAAGAGGGTGGAAGGGGAATATCCCATATAACATCATATACCCCTTTAGTTGATCAAGGGGAAGTGCAAGAGACCTTGGAATTGGTAGTTTGTTACATGGAAATGTCGATCCTTTGTTGATCAAGGGAAGTTGCCCTGGATGGATATTAAGAGGAGTACATCAATAACAGGAACATACTCCTTGATTGAATTCCAAAGGTTCTGTCTACGTTGCACGTTGGAACGCTTCTGTCTACGTTGGAGTATGCTAGACTGGGTCAGGAACTGCGCAGGTCAGGAAAAACTAATAAACACGTTGGTTTGGATCCCAGCACTGATCTGTCGGCCTCGCACGTACTCGGAGCTGATGTTTCAGTTTATGGTATATTGAGCAAAAAGATGTGAACAAACATACTTAATCATGCTTATATAAATAACTTTGGATCAATCAATCAATCGGAATAAGGACCAGGGAAGATGAAAAAGGGCTGACCCTGAGGCTTTGGCTGACATGACATGTCCAAAACGACGTTGTCACCCCCCACCATGAGCTCTTAGGGTGTTTGGTTTTCTCAGCCACACTCATACAGTACGCACATTCTAGAACAATATGTTCACAGACAATCGACTCACCATGGTTTCACAGATGGTGTGTCATACACTCACTGGTTATCAGGAGCACCTCAACACCCTGTGGTTCCACTATGTTCCAGATAGTCTTCTGTATTTTTTGTGACCCAGTTTGTTTCCCCCAAAAGGAATCAAAAAGGCATTGCTCCCACTGAGGATGAAGAGATGTTCTCCATCATAATTTGGGCCTTGCTTTGGGCCACGGTGGTCGCTCCCCTGGTCTTCCGCTACGTGCTGAACCGCTACGTGAAGTCCGAGGGCCTGGAGGACCAGCCACCCAACATGTCCTTCTTCCATAGCGAGTCGCCACGGAAGCTGGGATTGCTGTATAGGATTGACGGTGGGATGAAAACAGTAGTAGTGGATTTGGCCAATGAATAACAGGGGCACATAGGGTCCAGGATTTGGAATCTGGTAGAGAGACGGAAAAGACGGAAGTCGAATCCGAAACAACAAAAAGTGTGTGTGCACGTATGTGAACCGGAAGGTTTCAACAACGATTGATCGAGTGATCCGATATGCCAAGGCGCAAGCCTTTTCCTGAACCTTGAGCCAATTCGGTGCGGTGAAACATACCTTAGTGATCCTTAGTGAGACGAATGAGTGACCCTGAGAACACAATCCAAGTCCAGGGTCCATTCCTTGCTACGAAACCAGAGATGGGTCGAAGTGGAGGGAATCAGGACATGTTCACAGTTGATCGAACCTTTAAAGCTTGTGGTATCAGGAATTTGTTTGGTCACTAGGAGTTCCATTTGGTCCATGTCGGGGTGCGGTCAAGGTTGTCGGTATAGCAGTGCACCTCCCCAGACTGACTCCGGACGGAACGGACACGGTGCTGACGACACGGTCCAGGTCGAATGCATTTCGACCAGGTCCGTTTGGCTCGTTGGGTTCCACCGACCTCCGTCCGAGGAAGCTGGCCTCGGGGAGCCGACACAGCGACTGGGAGTCGCGGGTCGCGGGGAGTCGAAGGTGGGCCGTCACAACCGTGACGTTGGCCGTGCAAGCCGAAGATCCCCGGGTCCCATGACCGGTGTTTGTTTCAAGGGGGTGGTGTTTGGGGGTTTGAAGGGGCAATGTTTGCATGATCCATAGTACCATACACCAGGAGTCACATGTCGGGGTGGTGTGGCTCGTCCCATCCAGTGAGTGGATGTGACAGGGGCACCCCGACTTCCTCCAAGTTCGGCACCCCGACATGTGACTCCTGGCATGTAGTGTTGCCTTGATTTCCTGAACCTGCTTAAGGACTTTCAGGCATGCCAGGTGGTGCCCAGTCGTGAAGTAACGACAATTCGGTACGTAGACTGGCCCACACGGGCAAGCGTTTCCAAACATAATGTATGTTTGTTGTACACTTGTGGGTTCTGTACCCTTGCGATCTGGTTGGTTCCCTTCGATGTTGCGCGCACACACACACACATTGGGAAGATTTGGGAAGTGCTTTTGACTAGAGCATGGCATCGTCCTAGTAGCCTCCTCCCAAGATGAGAGGACTATGAGAGGACTATCAGCACCCACAAGAGGTGGTGAATGGACACCCCGAATCACCTCTAAGTGTTTAAAGGGGCTACTAGTATTTATGTGTGTAACAAAGAAATTGTGAAAGTAACAATAGACACAATCAGAAGGGGAGTTGTGGGAGGGACTTACCATCCGCAGCTCGTTTGGGCCATTTTGGCTCAAGAGCCTGTGGGGTTTGATCCTTTCCGTTCATGGCCCATTTGGTTAGGTGGGGAGAGGCCACCTGGGATCCGGTACCAGGCCCTCAGGTGGGAAACCATGTGGGCATCTGGCCACTCATCACCGGTGTGCTCTTGAGCGTCCTGGTGGTGGGTGTGTGGATCGGGTGGAAGGCCCACTCCATTTGGGCCGCGTGGAAAGTGGTCAACCCACTAGCTCGCTTCCAAGTGGGTGACACACCTTGGGCCATCCTCACCAGGAAGGCCATAAGGTTTGTGTCTCGTCGCCGCCTCATAAGCCTTGCCTTCTCCAACTACCGCAACTACTCTTTGCGGAACACCGAGCAAGGCACACCTACAACCCTACGAAGGGCAAGGCTTGCGGTGGCAAGCCCAAAAGCATCTGCCAGGAGGCAGATCCAATTCGACCAAGAGCTCACCCCGTTGAGAGAAGGTCCCGTGATCAGCCATGGACCCCACCGACGCAGAGCTCAATAATATGGCCACCCTTCAGCATGTTGCAGACTGGGCCGGCACAACTGGAGAAGTCCACGAACAATTGATGGATGCTCTGGGCAAGCCCTCAAAACTGCGGGACATTGCCTTCATCAACCGGACGGTCTGGGACAACGTGGTGGCAGGGCTAAAGATCGATACTTCATCTGGCACAACCACCAGTGAAAGAGACCTCACCCCAGTTGAGGCTTCTCGAATCGAGATATTCCGAAGGGTCACCTTACTTCGGCTTGGTGCAAATCCAGATCACGTTGGATCGTCAACCGCACCGCCAGTAGTGTCCATCGGAGTCTCACCTTTGCCAAGTACTTCAACACCAACCTCTCCCACGAGGAAGCTGAAACTGAGCAGCGTGATCGACCCAACGCTGGATGCTGAGATTATTCAGCTAGAGCAGTCAGAAGTGGCACGCATGTATAGTACATACAAGGCAAAGTTCGGTGACCATCCAAGCCAAGAAGTGGAACCTTCGGCAGACCAACTGTCGGGTATCAATCAAATGTTGCGAAGTGGCGCGCTGCCATATTGCGATTTCAGTGTGTTTGGACCCCACGGACTCCGACAACTGAGAAAAGCAGTGTTCACCTCCTACGTACTGAATGTTGCCACAGGAGAGTGGTCCAAGCGCGAAGCTCCAGGGCCTGACTCGATCTTCAACTGGGAGAAGTCCTTTCGCACATTCAAGACGGCCTTGCTTCTCCTGGAGGCAGCCGAATCCGAGCGATTGGACGCGTATGCAGATCACATCAAAGAGCTTCATGCGCAGTTTGGCCATGAATGTTGGGGGATCATCTATAGGGCTGACGTGCGTATGAGATCCGAGTTTCAGGACAGGATACGCCGAGCCTTGGATGAAAACCCGAACTATGGCTACACCCGTGCAAGCCCTTGGTCAGCAGTGTTTGCACAGGCTGTCAAAGAAGGAGACTTTTGGACCAAAGAAGTCGTGACACCAGCAACCCTACTGCTAGCACGGAACAAATCCCTGCCAGCCAGACAGGACGGGGATTCATCCGATTCAGACCGAGGAGGCAAGAAAGTCAGACCAGATCAACCTCCGAAGAAGAAGAAGAGGAAGTACGCCGGTGAAGACCTTTCGCATTGGGACGGGCAAGCTGGCGCCTTCTCTCTCAACCGGAAGGGGATACAGATCTGTCAGAAGTTCAACCGCAATCAATGCGGCAATGGCAAAGCGCAATCCCGATGCCCGAACAATCGCAGCCATCAATGCAACCTTTGTCTTGGCCCGCACATGGCCACGAAGTGCACAGGAGGCAAGCGACAGAAGAGCTGAGAAGGTGGAAACACCACGCTGACTACGGCTCCCGGGACAGACCCGGCCACACCAGGGACATCGGCAAAAGCGAAGCCAGCTCCTCCGCCTACGCCCACGCCAGAGGGAGACAACTCCAAGAGGAGGCCAGCGTCACCAATTGGCCCCCCACCAAGGCGTGGCAGTGATTCACACCCTAGCGGGAGTCAGCCCGATCGTGAGACCCGCAGGTCGAGAAGCAGGAGAAAATCCCGCCGCAGGAGCCGGTCGAAAACACCAATCAAGAGAAGGATCAGCGACTTTCCCCTGTGGATCACTGCAAAGAACATCTCCTCCGTGGGAGACCTTCCCAAAGTGACGAGGTGGCACAAGTACAGGACGGTTGTACAAACCTGGAACCGGAACTGTGGGCTGACCAACCGAGATGCCTGTTGGTATTCAGCGGCAAGCACAGACCCGGGGACTTGGCTAGCTACCTCGGAGCAGAAGGATGGATCGTGGTCATCGTCGATAAGGTGGCGCCAGAGCCCACCGATGTGCTGTCAGAGCACAACCTCGACAAGATCCTAGCCGACACGGAAACCGGCATGTACGACGTGGTGGGGTGCGCAACCCCGTGTGAAACACTATCACCGCTCAGGGAATCACCTCCAGGCCCAAGACCGCTGCGATCTTTGAAGCCAGATGGGCTGCCAAGCGAAGAGCTGACCGAAAGTGAACCCAGAGGGCCGTTTCCTAGCCAAAACCCCCCCGATACCCCCAAATCCTAGCCAAAACCCCCTGGCCAGGTTTGAACAAAACCTCCAACCCAACCAACACCAGCTTTAACATGTCAAAAATAACCATTCCAAGATATTCCCAACACAAACAACTTCTTCCAACACAGCCCTCGCACATCAGACTTTTCACCAGCACCGGCCACGAGTAGGTTCAAAGCAGCCGCCCTTCACTCATTCCAACCTCAGTAGCCCCAAAACAGGAACAAGAGCTTTGAACGTTACCTAAGCTTTTTCAAACAATGGAAAATTTATGGGCATGCGCTCATGCTGACATGGTTCATGAACAACATTCAAACCATGCAGGATCAAAATCATGGAGCACATGTCATGAACCCGTGACATGCTTGCACATGGCATGAACAAACCTACACATGAAACACATGTCATGCGCGCATGGCATGAACAACATGAGCACAGAATGCATACACAACTACCATGAACAAATGATTTGATGTGATTTGCAGATTCTAAGGCCCCAACCTTTCAACAAGACTTTCAAACCTGAACAAAGCCACTAACAAATGTCCAATCAAGCCTATTTCGACTGTTTACCAAGCCTGCGCAATATCTTTGCAAGGTACTCTCGTGGGTCTTCAAGCGGTGAGTCCTTCTGGCCACACGAAGCACCTCCTTGAGCCATGTCTCGTCCAGCCAGGTTGCCCCCATGAGGGGGTTTTTTCTGGCGAAGAGTGCTCAACAACAAATGCTCATATTCATGAAACTTGGGTCTGATGTTAAAGAGTTTGAAGACACAAAAATTTCGATACTTTGCGTGACAACGCAAGTACGAGTTCAGAAAAAGATCTCCAATGACCTGAACTTGGTGGATTTCACCTGGCAGCATCCACATTCCATTGTCATGGCGGCTTTCCAAAAAGAGACCAAGCAGGTTCTGAGCTGACCAGACTGTTGTCTTGATCAAGGGGTCAACGTCCACATTGTCTTGGCACAGAAAGTCTTCAAGAAAGCGCAGCACAACATCGCAATGCCACCCCTTCCCCAACATGTGTGTGTATTTGCCTCCCTTGAGGCAAAGCTTGCCTTTGGTCAACATCCAATGCTTGGG